ATTCTTCGGCGGTCAGCCTTCTTTGTGGTCTAGCTCTCACTTCCATACATCGCTACTAGAAAAACCATAGCTTTGACTATGCAGACCTTTGTTGGCAAGGTGATGTCTCTGCTTTTTAAAGATGCTGTCTAGGTTTGTCATTGCTTTCCTCCCAAGAAGCAGGCATCTTTTAATTTCGTAGCTGCTGCCACCATCTGCAGTGATCATGGAGCCCCAGAAGGTAAAATCTGTCACTGTCTCCATATCTTCCCCTTCTATTTGCCAGGAGGTGATGGGATCAGTGGCCATGAGCTTAGTTTTTTTGAGGTTGAGCTTCAGACAATTTTTTGCACTCTCCTCGCTTGAGGTAGAGTATGTTGAATCCTTGTGGGATTGAAATGTGATGCTCCTGCTCCAAGAGCTTGGAAAAGTTACTTCCTTGAACACTAACTACTAGAATCTGACTTTGGTGGCTGAAAAACTTTGGATGCTGTAGCCAACAGGATAACTTTTCCCACCTCTGCAGAATGAGGACTTCCAAGCTCTTAGTGGCACTGTAATATTCAATCCCTCCAGGCATTTTCAAAGTTCTTAAAGCAAATAATAAAAATAAAACATCCATTCATATCCTTCATAGATACTAGAGACCTACAGAGATTGTATGGCAGGATACATTTTATGTAACCCGAGGCCACAAAAATGCACTTGTGGGCCACTTGTAATGTCCGCAGCTGCCATCTGTATAAGAGAGGGGTTCAAGCAAGCCTTGAGACTCGATAAGGCCTTTCTTTTTCTTGAAATTCCACTTAGCCAAGCCTTGCTTACACATTTTGCCCGATGAAGTGCCAGCACAGAGGCACCTACTTGGAAGGAGCATTTATTAATCCTCATCATCATCTTAGCAGAGATGGAAGGGTAGATCATCCAGTCCTTGTCCAAGATGCACAGCGGGGAATTGAACTCCCAACCTCTGGCTTCACAGCTAGTTACCTCAAGTATTCCAAAAGTATTCCAAAATAGAGGGTTTTGGTACCATCCACGTAATTTTTCTCAGAGGGGGGCACAGGGTTGCACGGACCTCTAGGTTGCCAACGAATTTCACCCCAAGACAAGGCATGAGATGGACTGGGAGCGTCTTGCTCATGCAAAACCAAACAAACCATCTTTTCAATTTGGGAGATAAACCTATTCGAAGTTAGCAACATTCCTTGGAAGGAGAAGGAGCAGGAAATCACACTGATATCAGACAAGGTAATCAAGGGGAGGGAGGACGCCCCCTCTGATAGCTCCACATAGCCTGCATGATCCTACAAGTGTCCCTTCAAGTTACGCGAAGTAGGAAAAGTTGTGGGCCGGGGGGAAACGTTGTAGGAGACAGCTGGGGCTGGAGGAAATAGCCAGTTGAGAAGAGACAACCAGCATAGTTTTGCTGCTGGTCACCCTGACTTCTCCACATTGTCATCATTCTGGTCAATCCTTGAAGGTCTTCCTCTTTAGAGTCCCCATGCATTACCTTTCTCCTCACAACCACACGCAGTTCGCTACGCCCAGGTGCCCCCATGATGTAGCACATTCCCAGGAATTGGGGGGAGAAGAGTCCGCCCAACCTTCTGTCACCTTCTGAAGGCCAACAGGCGCCCCCCTCCATCTTAATAAAGGGCGGCCATTTTCCCTCCGCAGGCAGAGAGCTAAGGACAACCCTCCCGGAGACTCACACGAGGGAGCCCAACTACCCCTGCACTGTGAGAAAGCTTTTCAGGAGAGGAGGGGGGTCCTTTCTTATTTCCCTTTCCAATCCCACTTTTTGCTGCTGGCTTGAGGGAGTCTCCTTCTCAGCAGGGAAAAACAAAGCTCAAGCAAGACGTACTTCGTTCTTGGCCACAACGTTGAAAACGACAACGGGCCCCACCTTGGAGGGACACAACTGAACGGTGTGCCGGCCGGCATTCTGGGAGGGCCAACCCGGCCGGGCGAGGGCCGTGAGGGAACGGCCATGGACTCTTTGACTGATAAGACACTGGGGAAATCTCACGGGTATTTGAGGCGCTGCCCAGCCGTTTTCAGGGCATACATTGGAAGAGATATTTCACCCTTTTCTCAGCAGCCGCCCTCTTGTCCCCTCAGTAGGATTTTCAACGCCGCTGCTGGACCGGCCGATTCGGAAAGACCAACAAGCACAAAAGCTAAGGCTGGTTGGGATATTTGAATTCCGTTTGGTTTTGGGTTTGGTTTTTTTTTTCTTCAGATTGTACAATTGTAACTTTTCATTATAACATTGTAGCACTATTTATTATTATTTATTAAACCTATTTATGAACAGTCCTTCAGGACAACCAGGCCTCCAGGCTGATATACAATCCGTAGGAGAAAAATCCAACAGCATGTTCAATGAAAAACATGATGCTGAGTTTGTTTCTGCCAGGGTGTCAAAAATGTACACCTACCTACCTACCTACCTACCTCCCTACCTACCTACCTACCTACTTACCTACCTACCTACCTACCTACCTCCCTACCTACCTACCTACCTACTTACCTACCTACCTACCTACCTACCTCCCTACCTACCTACCTACCTACTTACCTACCTACCTACCTACCTACCTCCCTACCTACCTACCTACCTACTTACCTACCTACCTACCTACCTACCTCCCTACCTACCTACCTACCTACTTACCTACCTACCTACCTACCTACCTCCCTTCCTTTCCTTCCTTCCTTCCTTCCTTTCTTTCTTTCTTTCTTTCTTTACACCTCTTCTTCACTATAGGAGGGTGTATTTATACAACACATCTGTTCCAAAGATCTCCTTGTATAGAGATGTCCCTGTCTAATAATTCTACTACTCCAATAATTTTAAGACCACATTCAGAAACCTACTATGTGATCACACCTGGTAATGGATCGTGATTGGGACTGCTTATCAAGCAGTCCAATCTGATCTATTTCCCAGAGATCACACAATGTATGGGGAAATACACTCCACCTTGACCCCGATACAAGCTGGACTTTTTTGGCCCTCCTGTAGGGCTGTTACTTCTACTGGGATTAAGAGTCCGATAACATCAGGCTGGCTCACTCACTCACTCACTCACTCACTCACTCACTCACTCACTCACTCTCTCTCTCACACACACACACACACGCACACACACACACACACACACACACGCCTGAAAGATTCTCCAGATTGTGTTTGTTTCAAGACCTTTTCTTCAATAAAGTCCTGGAGAAGGATGAATGTTGAAACTGCTTGTCTACTCGAAGAAGTATGTTCTTCTTGGTGACTCTTAGAAGGTGGCCTTTTTAGTGAACACAAATGTATAAATTTACTCAGACTGTTTTGCACCTGCATGAATGGTTCTCTCCCCTCCTCATTGGGGGTGGGGGTGGAATCCATCTGTTTCTCCCTGCCCTCCCCAAGACTGACTTCACTCTGCCCTGTGTGTAGAGGACAGAATGAAACAGCTTACGGGAGAAACCCTGAATCACCCCAAATATGCAACATCCAATCGATTTAGACGACAGTCTCATCATTTCCTGGTTGGCAGTGCTGGTTCTGCTGGGCAAATCTTGAAAGTTGCTCCCCCAGATGCTAAACATTATAAGCCCATTGACAGTACCATGGAGAGTGCTTTGGGCATTTGAACTAGAGGCGAGCAGATTTGAGTTTTCCAGGGTTTTTTTTCGATGCACGAGCTTGCCTTCCACGGTGGAGGCCTCATGGCACAGGGGTTCAACTGCAGTACTGCAGCCAAGACTCTGCTCATCAACCTGGGTTCAATCCCAAGAAGCCGGCTCAAGGTCAGCTCAGCTTTCCATCCTTCCAAGGTCGGTAAATGGAGGACCCAGCTTGTGTGTCTGGGCAAGACATAGGCTGCAACTACAATTACCAGTTTTGCAATGACCCTTATATCTAGAGTTTGGGATTATGGTTTTTTTATTTATTTGTTTGTTTGTTAACAAAAAAAAATTCTCAGAATCTTTCAGCAAATATAGCCACACTGACTGAAGTCCTTCTAGGAGGGGCTGGCATCCAGAAAAGTAATTGTTCCAAGGTCTGAGTCTCAAGCAGCAATGGCACAAAGAGCAACATTCTGAATGCCAGCCAAAGAAGCACAGATAGTAGCATCACGCCTGCATCACCGGGTTGATGGACCTTTTGACAGTGGCTCTACTGTTTAGTTGGTAGTCTGGTGGATTTGCCCCAGGCTTCTGGCCTGACCATTTAATAGAACTGTCCATGGTGCTGAATCTGTTTTCAGATTCAGCCCTGTGGAAACTTCTGTTCCATGTTTGGACCAAAAGCTGAGCGGCTCAGGTGACAGCCTCTACTGTGGATTAATAAACATGCTGGCTGAGGGATTTTGGGAGCTGTAGTCCCCCCAAAAAGGGAAAACTCAAAGATCTGCCCAGGCCTGGAACCACACGTCTTGGTGTAGATGGAACACCTTGAACTGGCTCAAATTTGCTATGAGTCGGCGCATCTCACTCCACCTCCCTATGTGCACACTTTTGCCATCTGATGCAGTAGCCCTCCCTCCAGATATTTTGCGGCACAGTTTCCATCATCTTCATCCAAATGGCCAGGAATGAGGGTTGTTGTACTCTGGAGGGCTCCAGGGTGGAGAAGCCTCTTACGAGCAGGACAAAACATGGAATCAGTGATCCACCAGAGCCACCCACTTTCTTTCTAGAGGGATCCTCCCGAAAAGCCAGCTGTTGACTTTATGGTCATGAAAAAGTAAATCCTCCAACCATTTCCATATGATCCCGGTTCGACCAAGCCTGACTCTCAAAATCAGCAGATCTGCTCCGACCCGCACACATCTGAACCAATGGCTTTTGGGCAGAAATACAGATATGAGTGGAAAACCCAACATGGTGGTTGTTTAGAAGCTCTCTGGGAGCCAAGGATGGCCGTTTGGGCAACCACGGTCAAAAAGCAAGAGTCCAAAGGATGGAAAGAACCAATGCCATTGTAAAGTGGTGAGATGGGCATGCCACCTGCACCCCAGCTATGAGGAGGTTAAGGATGATGACCTGATATTGGGCAGAACTCTGTTTCCTGATGGTGGCGGCAGGGGTGGCAGGGGCGGAGAAGGGCGAGGGTAGCCGTGAGCCACTTTCTGCACCATTGACCACAAATCGGTCCGGAAGCGCTTGACAGAGAAACAGTAGATGATGGGGTCCATGCAGCTATTGAGGCTCAGCAGTGCCACGCTCAGCATGTGCAGGTTGTCTAGGAATGAGGGAGGACTGCAGACCGGAGCGGCCCTCCGACCCGTTACCCAGGGCACCAGGGAGAGGTGATAGGGGGCCACACAGACCACGAACACCAGGAGCATACCCAGGACCATGGCGCGGGCCCTCCGCCGGTGCCCTCCTCGACAGGCACTGGCCGCAGCAGAAAGGGACCTCATGATAGACAGGTAGGCGCCCAACACGACCAGGAAAGATGCCGCAAAGAGAGCCACCATGGCGTAAGCGTAGGTCCTTTGGCCGGCGTGTTGCTCGAAGCATTTCAGGCTGATGGAGGCCGCCTGGTGGGTCTGCTGGGTCACCAAGGAAGGGACGGCGCAGGCCAGGCAGGCCACCCAGGCCACGACACATCCCGCAAGGGCCCCCGGAGGCTTGTTCAGAGCCAGCTCCAGCTTGGCCACGGTGCAGTACCGGTTCAAGCTGATGAGAGTCATGAAGGCCATGGCACTGTAGGTGGCCAAGTAATAAATAGCCCCCGCCAAGCGGCAGGAGGCCTCGGGGAGCTCCCAGTGCCCTTCCGCCAGGTAGTAAGGGATCCAGAACGGCAGGGTGAGGTTGAAGAAGATGTCCGCCAGGGTGAGGTTGATGAGGTAGATGCGGATGGCCTTCCTCACCTGTCCGTTCTGCAGGAAGACGAGGAGGGCCGCCACGTTGCCAGGCAGCCCCACGCACAAGACCAGGCAGTAGACGGCCGGCACTACCACAAACTGCACGGGGTCGTTCAACGAGCACCGGACCCCGGCGTGTCCCGCGCTGCTGGAGTTGCTCATCCCAACGCTGCTATGAGACAAAGAGAAGGGTGGCATGAGACGGAATACAGCAAAGAGCAGTGAGAAGGGAGGGAAGCAGGAAACAGAAGGTGCACCGGTGAGTGGGACCCATCAGGGACCCTCCGTGGTGAAGGCCGCATTTGGGGCATTGAAGGGAATGCACCCGATCCGGTTCCCCTCGGTTGTCATGTTGAACATGGGAGGGTGGCTGCTTGAAGGACAGGATGCTGGATCCAGGACATCAAAGAAGCCTCCTCAAAGAGAAGTCTTGTGAGGACACTCAGGCCTCCCCAGTCAATGGCATGCAACCAACAAGTCCCTCCCTTCTGGAAACATTGCACTGGAACAGCACCAAACCCACCCACTTCCTGGACATCGACCTCCCTGGACAATGGCTCAAGTCAAGGAGAGAAGGATGCCAACACAATGAAGCAAGTTCACAGGGTGGGGAACGAGGGTGATCCTTTCACCCTTGGGTCTCATGGAAGAGCCCAGCTTCCCTCCCCTCTGCTGCATCCTGGCCACCAAATGGCCGGCAAACGATGGAAAAGACCAGGGCACAAACGGCTGGATAGATCAGTGGTTTCTGTCTCAGACTTGTGAGGGTGGAGATTGAGAGTTTGATTCCCCACGGGGCCTCCTGCAGGTACAGCCAACCTGTGTAGCCTTGGGAAAACTGCACAATCCCCAGACGAAGGAAATGGGAAACTACGTCTGAGTTTACCAAGAAAACCTTGCAAAGGGTCCTCGTAAGTCAAAAATGGACTTGACATTACAAGTGAAACAGCCGGAGCCATGGTAGGGCTAGAGAGCAGAGAGAGAAGAGAAGATGATGCAAAGCGAGAGAGGCAAGCGAGGTTTCAGGCGGCATGCAAGGACTCTCATCATAATCCTCATTTGGAGCCAGGAAGATTCAATCAAAGAAAAAATTCAACCACATTCCGAGCCGTCTGAGTCTCTCCTCCCGGCCACCTACTCTCTGAATCATCCTTTTCCAATGCCTGGAAGCTGCTAGTGGAGGGAAGCGAGCAAGGCACAGCTGCCCCCAAGGGGAGGCCGCCAAACCCTCGCTGGAGACAGGGTGCCTGGCTCCAGCCCCACAGCTGCCGGGGCTTAGCACCACTCAGCCCCCTGTTCCCGAACCCTTCTCGTGGCGGCCCACGCAGTTCACCTGTTCCGATCGGCTCAGCCGCAGAGAGAAAAAGGCAGCGCCTGCTGCATCTTTTCCTCCTTCCGAACTCCTTTCTTTTCCTCCCTCGGCTGAGATGGAAAATGCAGACCCTTTGGGGACGGGGTTGGAGGTGCCGGGACAGGACTAGGAGTTTTATTTTCCCGGAGAAAACGAAATGGGAGCCGCTGAATTAGAATTCTCCAAGGTCAAATTCTAAGCCGCACAATGATTTAATAGTTATCATCTTTGAACTGTAGAGCTGGAAGGGACCCTAGACAGACCGTTGAGTCCAGGGTGTCTTTCCCATCGTACACAATCAGAGTTGGGGAATGCTCAGGGAATACCTGGAGGAAAAGGGGATTCTCAACATGATCTCCTTGAAATGGTGGGTCTTTCCTTTAGATCTTTATACCCAGAATTCAGAGTAAGGAGTGATTTCAGTGGGGATGTAACAGGCTGAACCCTGCTTTGGACCATAGAGCAAGTCGTTTACCATGTACTGGACAAAACATGAATGGGCCCAAAGACACGGTCTTGTCCACCCGAATGTTCATGCCCGGGGGGGGGGAAGCAAAGATATTTAGAAGCGGCCCAGTAAAATAAATGGATCTGCACTTACCCTCCTGTTTGTGCTTTTAAGGACAGTTTGGCAGGTAGAAATTCAGCATCCTGGGGTTGTTGCTTTCCCCCCTCCTGACACAGAGATGCAGTAGTGTGTGTGTGTGTGGGGGGGGGAAATTGGCAAAAAATACTCCCCCCCCAGCTCAGCTGTTAAGAGCAACACAGATGGAGCGGCTGTTTTTATTTATTTTAAGGTTGTTAACTTTAGCAGATCTATAACAGACGAATGGGTTCTGGGAGGAAGGCAAACTAGATTGCCAAGACAGAAATGGGTCCAAAGTTGGTTGCATTGCAAATTAAGTTACGCAAAAGGCATAACTTTTAGCTTTGAATCGCTGTGAGTTAATACATTTCCATAGGCATTATCTGTTCTGCAAAAAGGATGACTGCAGAGACTTCTCAATTCAGAAGAGTTTGCCGCCAAAACTCATGCTTTTTGTATGATTGTGCCCCAGGATTTTAGCCGTGTTTTTTTTAAGAGATGCATTCCTTCTCTTTGATGCAAATTCAGTTTTTAACATGAATTCCTTCAGGTTAACATGTTATTTCCAAGATTGGAGAGGCAGCCCAATCCTCCAGCATCTTCCCTGCCTATGTTGCCTGTGCAAGCTGTAACTGGCAGGCTAGCCCTGGAGATGATGACAGGAAGATGAAGAACGTAGAGAAGAAAAAAAGCAGAGAGAAAGAAAGGCACAGCTAGTACTCCTGTTTCATCCGGTTTATTGCGAGAACTGTAAAGACTAGAGTACGTTTCTAATGGGAGATCTTCAGCAGTGTTACAAAACTATTCAAGAGAGCAGATGGGGTGCGGTGATTAAAATCTGAAAGAAGCCCTTGGGAAATCTAGATTCAAAGACTCATCCATAGATAGATAGATAGATAGATAGAGAGATAGATAGATAGATAGATAGATAGAGAGATAGATAGATAGATAGATAGATAGAGAGATAGATAGATAGATAGATAGATAGAGAGATAGATAGATAGATAGATAGATAGAGAGATAGATAGATAGATAGATAGATAGAGAGATAGATAGATAGATAGATAGATAGGAAGGAAGGAAGGAAGGAAGGAAAGGAGGGAGGGAGGGAGGGAGGGAGGGACGGAGGGAGAGAGGGACGGAGGGAGGGAGAGAGGGACGGAGGGATGGACGGACAGACGGACGGACGGACGGACGGAGGGACGGACAGATGTCCTGTCCTCAACAGCCCCATCTAGCTCTTGTACACTGAAGACTGTGGCTACCTTTAAGAGATTTCAAATTAATTTCATATTTGTTTTAAACTACTGTATTTTCGAACCTGTTTCGTGACAACGTAGACCAGGCAAGGAGTAGAAAAGACAGCAAGTGCTTTTGCCCAGTAAAGTATCCCCCAGGTCACTTGGGGCCATCTAATCAAATTTTGTGTTTCAAGTTGAGTTAGCTGCAGTCACCCTTGCACCCCTGTCAAGTTGTAGAGTTTTAAAAATATGTTTAAAAAAGAAATCTGCCACATCGACAACACAATTTTGGCAAAGACTGCTCCAGAGTCATTTTACTCTCGAGGTCTCCGAAAAGCTCAAACATTTCGCTAGCCATTATTATTATTATTATTATTATTTTGAGGAATGGCCCTCTTGCAATTATTTGCAGTCCAGAATCCAACTCCTCAGAGGCATACGTGTCTCCTCAGATGTAAGTGAAAGTGACTCGGGACCCTAAGATTATCATTGGAAAACAGAGAAGGCTTCCCACACTGAAGAAGGAGGAGGAGGAGAACAGGAAGAAGGAGGAAGAAGAGAAATAATTATAATCTTAGAACTGCAGAGCTGAAAGGGACCCTATGGATTAAGGAGACAGAGTGGGGAATTGAACTCCCCACCTCTTGGCTCCACAGCCAGAGGAACCAGAGGAACTATCCAGCAGTTCATCCTGTGTTTACTGTATTCCATGTGTAACTCTTGAATGGATATAGGCAAGCCCAGAACTGTTACATAATAATAGCTTCCCGAGGACATGGGGGGGGTGGAATGGGGGTGTTCTGCTGCATCCCTGCAACAGGAGTAGTTGAATGATCCCACCATACATACAAACCCTCCAATATAGAGATGTAGGAAAATTCCCTGTTTTCAGGAAAATTTGGTAGGAATGTAACATCAGAGGAGCAAATCACGTAAAGATGCTTCTTTGTGAGCGAGGCTTCTGTGCTCACAGGAGCTATCATTTATTTCATTGATTACTCATGGATGCTCCAGGGCAGCTCCCCACCCGACTCCTCCACCCCGATCTAGACACAAACCAAGCTGTCAAGTCCCAGATCATACCCCTAATTTCACCAAACCACCCTTCCACCCTTCCAAAACTCTTCCAGTATCCATGTGCTTCCCGGCCCCTTCTCTCCCCCCACCCGGACCCCATGCCAGAAACCCTCCAGGACATCCCAGTAGCCCTCTTACCCTTCCAGGGTGGCCTGGGTCCCTGGTCGCCCTAGACACAAACCAAGCTGTCAAGTCCCAGATCATACCCCTAATTTCACCAAACCACCCTTCCACCCTTCCAAAACTCTTCCAGTATCCATGTGCTTCCCGGCCCCTTCTCTCCCCCCACCCGGACCCCATGCCAGAAACCCTCCAGGACATCCCAGTAGCCCTCTTACCCTTCCAGGGTGGCCTGGGTCCCTGGTCGCCTGATGATGTGTTTCTCCTATGAAGCCGTCACCAATACATGTCTCAGATTTTTGCGCCTCTCTCTCTCTCTCAATCCTCACCCTCCTCCACCCCATGTCAGAGGTTAATCCTTGCAATTGTGCGGCGGTGGAAGCAGCTGGCGAGGAAGCCTTGCATCTGTGCATGTATGTTAAAGCGGATTCCCCCAAAGGAAATGGAATCAAGAGGTCACCCTGCCAACACTCAACGCATGAGTTACCATCCGCCTTTCTGGTCTTGATCCGAAGAATTGAAGCTGCAAAGCAGGAAAACGAGAGCCAGGCAGGGACACTATGACCCGGTGCTGCTGCCTGCAGAGCAGAGCCTTCCAGGTGGATTGAGAAAGTGAGCCCAGCTGCACAATGCACACAGAGGCAAAACTGTAAAGCGCCAGGATCCTCTTGGATTAAAGGTGGCTGCTTAACTCTCCCCTCCTACAGGCTCACCTTCATGTACTCAGTCTTGCGCTGGCTGCAAGATCATGGCTGGTTGCATGGATCAAGTGCTCAAAGTGAAATCAGCTGTAGAACTGCTTTTGACACATGTTTTTCCGCCAGTCGGGTTTGGGGTCAATACAATATGTATTACTCTTTCGTCCCACATTTCTTCATGAAAACCCGGTTAGGTAAGTCATTCTGGGAGAGAGTGGCTGGCCCAAGATCATCCAATTCAAGGAGACTCTTTTCCAAGGAGACATATATGGGATTGCCATGGGGGTGATCCATCCAAGACATTCAACTTTTGTGACTGCTGCTAGAAGCATTTGGAAAGCATTCGCACAACTTGTGCTCTTAAAAATCTGCTCCATTAAAAAAAGGAGCCCGTTAAAGGGGCTTGTATTGAGTTCGGATGTTGAACCCGTTTCTCCAGGCTTCATAAAAGGTAGGGGATGAAGGGGGTGACCCTTTTGCAACATTTCAATAAGTTATTAAGGGCTCCCATTACGCTGTGCCTACAACCAGCAGTCTCCAAGTAAATCCGGTTTCAGGTTTGGCTAAAGAAGACCCATTGAAATGAATGAGGCCTGTGAATCACTGCTTACATGAACCCCACTGGGCCCGGTGATTGTGGGCTTTTGTCTGTTAATGTCTGCATTATGAAAACACCGTCAGCAGCTCTTTAAACGTGATTTTCCTCCCTCTCATCGCCTTCAATGCAGCAAACATGTCCACAGGAATGGCTTTGGATAAAGAAGTTGCACAGCGGTCGCTCCGCCGAATGTGCATCCTCAACATAATTTGCGCACGCAGAGCGCAATACGACAACATCGTCTTTGGGGGTTCCTTAAAATAGTAAGTAAAGGCGGATGCAGGCGAGGAAGGTTAACAAACTTCACTGTCCCCCTCTCCACGGATGCCCATGCACGCTATGTGTGTGTGTGTGTGTGTGTGTGTTCCCCTCTCCACAGATGCCCATGCATGCTATGTGTGTGTGTTTCCCTCTCTGTTGCGCTCACTCACACACACACACACACACACACACATGCACAGTTGCTCCTGGCTTAGCAGATCTTCCAGCACAGGGTTGCCAAGAAGCCAGCGTTGAGCACAAAGGCCTGGGAAGCGGATATGAATCAGCACCGGAAAAAGGGTAAGTGCAGATAAAAGCATGCTAACCACCCACCCATCGGTACCCTGGGAGGTTTAACGGTGCCTAAAATGCTGGAGTGCTAATATCTGAGATTCAGGCAAAAGCAATTCCTTCTATTGACAATTTTGCATATACACAGAAACACACAAACACACAAAGAGAAAGCGTGTGACACATGTAAACATTGAGGGGAAAGCCAATTTGTAGGTTTTTGCCTCGTGTGCTTTTATTTATTTTTTACAGTTCTCTCCTGTTCAGAAACTCAGTAAAGTTACTGTATTTTTCGCACCTTAAGACACATTTTTCCCCACAAAACAGGGGGATGGAAAGTCTGTGCGTCTTATGGAGCGGAGAAAACAGATTATATTTTCCTGTTTTCTTCTCCTAAAAAATTGGTGCGTCTTATGGAAAGGTGCGTCTTATGGAGCGAAAAATACGGTACATCAGGTCTTCTTGGCACAAGTCGGACACCTTTCTGTCCCATAATGAGTGCTTTCTTCATCACTCAGCCCTCATCCTTCCCACCAGCCAGCCTAACTAACAGAATTCTGGCCTGCTTTCCTCTTTTGCAGAAGGCTTACAACACTGATTTTTTTTTAAAAAGTGCTTGAAAACCAGCAATGATAATATTAAAATAATCAGATGGGGGGGATACACAATCAAGTTTAGAACTATCTAAAACCAATAGAAACCTTTTAAAAGACATAAATGGTAAGCAAAACATGGGTGCATCGTTAAAAATTTTAATGGCCCAAGGGCTGTTTAAATTGAAGTATCTCTGCCTGGCAGCTACAAAGGGCCTTTGGAAGCAAGTCCCACAGCTTTACTTCGCTTTCGAAATGTAACAGCTGCACAAGGAAGAAAGCGGGAAGACAAAGGGAAGAGATCAAAGCCAAGCGCATTGTCAGCTTTCAAAGGATGTTCAAACTTCACACCATCAGAGAAATCTGGAGAGCTGGACAAGAAGAACAGGCTACCCACCAGTAATCGTAGCTCTTCAAGTGGACCTATATAACTATTAAACTATATATATGTTGAATTTGAAACGCATGATGGAGAGAATTCAAGAGAAAAGACAGTATGCCTTGCTTGTTTGCTCACCACAAGTAAAGAAAGATAAAAACTTAAATATTAAGGCTGGGCATTTCAAGCTGTTGCTTTCTTAGGTTGCCGGGAATGAGACAGCGCTTTATCCGAGGTTCAGCCGAAGATGTTGTCCAGAGATGGTTGAGGCCTTCGTTTGTCAGTGTATTGTGTAGTTTAAAAATACCGCCCACCCCCCAGTTTGTAGAATTTAGGGAGAAAGGAGAGTTTCTGGATTTATAAACCCAATGCAATCGTGCAGGACATCAACTGGGAAGATTTGGTGATTCTCCAACCTGGGAGAGAGCCATGCTTTCATTCAAAGTACAGGAGGACCGCAGTATCCATGGGGGATCGGTGCCAAATATTCCTCTAAAGCCATGGTTCCTAACCACGGGTCACACCCAGATTTTCTTGGACTGCAACTCCCAGAAGCCTCCACCATGGAGAAGCCATGTGGAAGGATGTTGGAGGCATTCAAGCTGCACTAGGCATTGTGATCTAGTACTGTCCACACCACCACCGCCACCCCCCCCCTTTGCGGACATGAAATGAGAACCATGCTTGCTTCTCCACTTTCAAAAACCCATTCTGGATCCGTCTCGAATCCTTAAACAAAACATGCAGATTCTAGGGTAGGTGGGAAACAGAAAGTGGCCCATTTTTCTATGGATGAAGCAGGAGATCCTTTTAAGAGGAGATGTCAAAGCCAGTGAGCAAAGGAGGAGAGGGGTGGTCTTTTCCACAACTGGTTGAACAAAATGTATCTCCTTAAAAAGCAGGAAAAGGAAAGGAAAAAGCAAGAATTAACTTTTTCAAAAGGGTCAAAGACGGTTCTCCTCCAAGGCATGCCTTCTGGCCGGGCAATCGGGCCGTGAATAGATCCGCCTTGGCCCCGAGACGAACCAGCCCCACCTGTTTGTGGCCCTTCTTCAAATCCTTTTAATCCAAAGACAGGGCAGAGGCAACTGGAGATGGGGTGCGTGCCAGAGGCTCCATCTCAAAATGTGACGTTTCACAGAACATAGGTGCCCGAGAGCATCCTCTGAGTGTTGAACCTCCATCGTGGCGTCCTGCCATCCGCTTCTTGAGAAAGCATCGACTTCACGGTTGCCCAGATTTGTGCCTTAGAGCTGCCCACGTAGCCCAAGGGCCCGGAATGCTTGCCTCCTGTCCTAATTTAGCGTATTCAACTGTTCCGGTAGCCACCCTACTCACAGGCTTCGTTTCATTCTTGCTTTTGAAAACACCGGCGCTTGATGCTGGCCAAGATTCTCAGCCATCATCTCAAGCGGCCACAAACAGCCATTCCGGACATGACCACAGGGTATTACCTACTATCGCTGGCTGGAGAGCTCAAGGGTTGAGGTCTCGGGCTGCCGAGCCAGAAGTTGGGAGTTCGATTCCCCCACTGGGCCTCCAGGGAGAAGATCCAGCCTGGGTGGCTTTGGGCCAGCAGGCGCAGGAATCCCAGAGCTGACCCCCCCCCCCATGAAGGATAAACCCGTTCTGAATTGTCTTCACCTAGAAAACCCTGGGAAGGGTCCCGTTCTGAGTAGTCTTCACCTAGAAAACCCTGGGAAGGGTCACTGTCAGAATTGACTGGATAGCACACAATTACGTACTTGTTACTATAATTTACTATTAGATAATATTAGCTGTTAGAAAGGTTGGAACAGTGGAGGGCCGTATGGAAACTTTATTCAGTTTTCTGGTTGGGAAATGAGGGCCCCAAAGGGTCAACCCAAAGAGACAACAAGAGGCTGGATGTGAGGGACTCAAAAGTACAACTTGTCAGGAGATCTGTAAGCTTTTCTTAGTACCAGTCAATGACCACATGCTTCTAACATCAATGTGTTGGATAAACGTTTTTACACTTCCACAGAAGGGGCTGGTAGAACAGATAACAAGGAACAAGACAGTTTTTTTTTAATTAAAAAAAAGGTTAAAAGGTTTTTTTTAAGTCAGAAATTTTGTGTTGTCACTGGCAGCTTTAATTGTTTGTATAGAGTTTATCCAGCATCTTTTCGCCCACAGAAGCCTTTGAGGTCAAGCACGGGGTCCATAAAAACAATGGCACTGGGAACGCTTATCAAAATTAGCCCATGAAGCAGCTGTGGGGAGCCACTCGTACATAAAACATTAAAAAAAAATACACAGCCTCAAAACAGACACTGGTTGATCCGACCCCAGTCAAGCCAGCACTGAAGACAAACCTAATGGGTTGCAGTACACGTTTTTACAAAAGGTTCCAGCAGGAGACATGACCATTGGCACAACAATATAGAAAGAAAGACGAGTCAAGAGCAAATGTTAGTAGAGTTAACCTTTTTTGATTTTGACTCTCGGAATCCCACCACTGCGGCCATTACTCCGAAAAAGTAACTTTTCCAAGTTGTGGTCAACAGTTCTCCAACGAGCCAGGAGGTGCCCATTCCTCTGCACATGTACACTAAGGAACTTGAAATGAATTCACAACCAAGTGCCTTAGGAAATTCTCAGTTGTGTCAAATCTGCACCCTGAGAGTGTCAGTCCCCGGGGATTTCTTGGAAAGAGGTTGCAAAAGCTTCTGGATTCTAATAAACGGATGCGTACACGCTGCAAATGATGGACGCTGGACTATTGTGCCCAAACAGCTCCCGTTATTAGCTCATTCTGGGTCTAAAAAAGTTGGAGGAAATAATCAACTTGTGATTTTTCATGGCCACGGCTGACTTGGTTAGACTCGCAGACCAGAGCAGTGTCTGGCTGACTCAGCTAAGAGGACCGTGTCAAGCTTTAAAAAAAAGGAAAATAAAACAAACGAATAAGAAACACTAGCCAAAATGAAAGCAGCTGAGAAAAGTTCCTCCTTCTTGCCAACACTTCTCAAAGTGTTGATTTACTTTGAGTCGTCTCAGGTTCAGCGAGCCTTTCTAGGTTCCATGATTGGAGGGTTCCAACTTCTGCCATTACCAAGTTGGCCGGACAAGGGTGAGAAAATCAAGCGTCCTTGCCATCTCAACAGGATCCTTTCCAGTCCCTCCCTTTCTCCCCGACTGGCTCCCCCTCCCCACACACACACACACACACACACACGTCCCTCATTCGAACTTCGCCTTGGCGACCCTCCCTCGCCCCCGAATATTGAGGAGGAGCAGAAGACCGAGGCAGACGGTGGCAGGAGCACACATGGCAACGGGTTCTTTCAAAACCAGGAGAGTGTAGATCGCACCTGCGGGAGGAGGGACATGTGAAAAGGGAGGGTGGGAGAAAGGAAAAAATAAATAAATAAATAAATAGCAGATCCTGAACTTCATTCATTTTATACACAAACAGATACACCAGTTGTGGTTAATTCCAGGAAACAACAATATAGCTATGGTTTAAGAATGTATTTTTCTCCTTTAAGGGTGGAGATCTCCCAGGCAGCTAATGAAAATAAGACTCGATCAGAAGAAATCAAGACGAGCGGCACCCTTCCAAACTCACTATTCTATATGTGCCAGGTGACCTTCTTCCATTTAGGAAACGTTTCAAAACTGAGCTTCTTAAGAAGGCCTTGAAGAACATCCTCCGTTTATGAACGTTTTCTCACCCATCATTTTCAATTCGATCTTCGTCAACCGGCCCCCTCTAAGGGTCTCTTTGTTGCATTAATTTCTTTGATTTTGGTCAGGGTGGTGGGTGTGAAGGTTTTCGTCACTATAAACTGCCCAGAGTAGTGGTTTCGCCACTAGATGGGCAGTAGATAAATGCAATAATTAAATAAACAAATAAATAGCAGAAACACACCAGTTTGAGGCTCATACAAGAAGGCAATGAGGCAAGAATCCAACTTTGCATGCTTACGAAATTCCACAAAGCACATTAGACTATAAATCCCCTATGATCATAGATGTATCTTTTTGATATATCTTAGAATAATCTCATCGGGTCCCTGCAGAGGTGGAAGGGACCCTCTGGATCATGGAGTCCAGCCCTTCTCAAAGAGGCCTGGGGGAGGGGGATCAAACTACCAACTTCTGGCTTCGCAGCCAGATGCCTAAACCACTGAGCTATCTAGCCAGCTCATGGTGGTACATGCATGAATTTTTCAGAGCTTGGAAACGCTAATTGGACTACAATTTCCAGAACCCATTCCAGCCAACCTGAACAGAAGTTTTACAAGCTCTTCTTTTTTAAAATAATAATAATAGTAATAAATAGATCTTATTAACATTATCAGCAGCATGACCCTCCTGGTCTTTTATGATACCCGAAGCAGTTCTGCTCAGCAGCTATCCAGTCCCTGGTCACTGTCTGCCTACATCTTCTGCTTCTTGGGATAATTTAATTCAAAGATCGCCAGGGGCAAGATAAGATCCGAAAGCAGTTTTAAAGGGGGCAGGGCTGATAGCATCAGCGAGTCAATTACCCAAAGCCAGAAGGGGGGAGGGGGAGGGTTCTAGCTGGCTGATAGCATCAGGAAGACAAGCGTGCATGGCATTAATTAAGGTTTGGGGTTTTGATAAAGAAGAAACATGAAATCGCCCAAAATAACCAACGGCATGCATGGATATGTTGTCTATGCATACATAAATACCTAACTGACAGCAAAATGGGTCTCCAGTTAGTCTTTGGCGCCTCCTAGTGGAACACGTGGTAGGGACGTGGTGGCTCTGTGGGTTAAAGGGGTTTTGATAAAGAAGAAACATGAAATCGCCCAAAATAACCAACGGCATGCATGGATATGTTGTCTATGCATACATAAATACCTAACTGACAGCAAAATGGGTCTCCAGTTAGTCTTTGGCGCCTCCTAGTGGAATATATGGTAGGGACGTGGGTGGCACTGCGGGTTAAACCACAGAAGCCTCTGTGCTGCAAGGTCAGAAGACCAGCCGTCGTAAGATCGAGTCCACACGACGGAGGGAGCTCCCGTCGCTTGTCCCAGCTCCTGCCAAACTAGCCGTTCGAAAGCATGGAAAAATGTGAGTAGATAAATAGGTACCACCTCGGTGGGAAGGTCACGGCATTCCGTGTCTAGTCGCACTGGCCACGTTGTGACCACGGAAACTGTCTTCGGACAAACGCTGGCGCTACGGCTTGGAGACAGGGATGAGCACCACCCCCTAGAGTTGGACACGACTGGAATAAATGTCAAGGGGAACCTTTACCTTTGTGGAATATATATTTTGTAGTGCCACCTCTTAACTGACAAGCAAACTGGTCCCTAGTTAGTCTCTGGCGCCTCCTACTGGAATCTGTTCATGTTCAGATACCCTCTTTCTCCAGTGCTTAACCAGCTTTAATCTCCCCACTGAGATTCATCTTCAGAACTTAACCCAATATTAGAACAGAGGGGACAGATGGGCTACAGTGAAGGGCTAATTCCCTTCTGAGGAAAACCTACAATGCCTCTTTATTTCATTTTATTATCTTAAATGCCAACATTTACCAAGTTCCAGGCTGAGCAAGCAAGCAGGGAAGCATCTGGCCACTTAGGCACGGGAGATCCGATCAACCTCTCCCTATCTTAAAGAAGTTATTTAGAGGAGCAAGGATAAACCTCTTCACAAGTTTGAGCAGGCGAATTGCAAATAATTGTGGACATCTCCCCAGTCCTGAAACTATTGGAGGGGGGCTTGTTTCCATAATGTTTATCTGTTTTTTATTTATAGATGATTATAATGTTTTTTTATCTTGCACTGCGCTAATGGGGTGGTGTGTGCATATGTACGTACATAACAAAAATATATAAAATGTTTTTCCATTTCCACATAAAACATGGAAACAACAAATTTGTGGTCCTCCTGAAACAGACGAATAGACAAAGCCCCTTACCTATCATGACGATAGTGAGCACAAAATTGCTAATTTCCTGCAGGAGCTGAGGTCCGAAGGCCAACAGGAAACCCGCCACGAATTCAATCCAGCCCACCGTTTCCAGGTACTGGACTGGGCCCGGCTGATAACCAAACTCTTTCAGGGGGAAAACATCTGCAAACTGTACAAACTGGGATTTCTGGAAGAGAAAGGAAAGGAAAGCATTCAATATTGAGAAGGAGGTGTGGCTCAACCTGGAGAAAAGGCCTAGCTGGGAAGGAATGGTGGGTTTAGTATAGGCCTAGCTTCCTGTGCAGAAAGGAAGCTGCCCATTGGCTGGCAGTCAGCTTCCTTCCTGCACATGTGATTAGGGGAGGAAGTTAGGCCTAGGCTAAACCTCAAAGCCTTCCAGCCATGCCTTTTCTCCATTTCTCCAGTTTATAGTTTACACTATCAATTATTTATATATTTACACTATCAATTATTTATATATTTATTTATTTTTATTCTATTTATATCCCACCTATCTGATCGTTATGACCACTCTAGGCAGCTTACAAAATCATAATACTATAACAATAACAATAACAATAACAATAACAATAACAATAACAACAACAACAACAACAACAACAACAACAGGGAAGCGTTTAATTGCTGGCTGATCAGGCTACAAGGGGCTGTGAGCTGTGGGGATGGGAGGAGCATGTCAAATGGCACAAATAATAATAAAAAAAGAAGAGATTTCATTAAATAATCAAAGATGGGGAGGAAAATGAAAGATAAACCACAAAGAAAAAAGAAGAGAAACAGATATTAGACTGAAAATAGTCTGAAACAGGGGTTATGTTTTCGCTAGGTCATTTTAATGGCTTAATCGGTTTCTATGTTTTTATTATTTCCCCTTAACGGCCTTTCAGTCATTGTAAAAAAAGATGACCCAGTGTGTGATCTAATAATGGACTCAGGAGATCTGGGCTCGAATCCCCATTCTGCCTTAAAAAATTTACTGGGGGTGTGGAAAAGGAAAAACTGCTCCTTAAATATCTCACTTACCTTGAAAGCCCCATTAGGATTGCTCTGATTTGGTTCCGACTTGGCGGTGACCGTATTTGTGGTTTCGGTATAACAAATCATGTACCTATTCATTTTCCTAAAAAGGATGCGGGTCTCTGTGATGTCACAGAGGCAGGGCAGGGGAGTGTTATGCATAGACACAGCACTGTGCCAGAAAGCATTGCTTATGTGAAAAATGATATCCCCCCCCCCATTCTACTGCCAGTGGTATAGCTTTTGATTCCCGCACTGGACTTCCTGGGAGAAGAGCCAGCCTGGGTAGCCTTGGGCAAGCTGCACAGTCCCAGAGCTCCCCCTAGAGGTAGAGAATGGGAAACCACTTCTGAGTATTTCAGCCTGGAAAACGCAGGGGAAAAGGGTCATCACCTTAAGTCAGAATCGACTTGAACGTAGATGGTTATTACTTATCTATTATTTAATTTAAAATATTTTTACCCCCGCCTTCCTCCTTGAAAAGGACCCGAGGCGGCTTGCAAACAATGGAAGACAATATTTCAGGTTGAAACCAATAAAAGGTTTAACCTCATTAAAAGGCAATATTTAAAACTACAAATAATGAAGAGGAACTGGCAAGATTAAAGCAAAGATCAATAAGTATATGGGGGGGGGAATAAGTATATTAACGAATGTTGTTTCCAAATGCGACTCTGAGAAATGGAAACCACAAACAGGGAAAACATGAGCAGTACTAAAAATCCAAATCAAGCAGTTTTTACTTATTATTGCATTTATTCCTCTCCGCATAACCCGATGAGGATCTAAATATCCACCAAAGCTTGGATTAAAATACAGTTGTTACTCTTTCAGGTCCGAAGACCTGGGTTTGTGTTGTTGTTTTTCACTTGTTTTGTTCTGGAGTTTCTTGTTGACGTTCGGCCTTAAAAGGGCGACAACTCCAAAAAAACACAGGAAATAAGAGAGGAAATGAGAAAGCGGAGTATTTCCTTTCCTTTCTTTTCCAAAAATTGGGTTCTGTTTGATTTGATGATGCAATTTTAAGGTCTGTTCTAGATGTTTTCTTGCTACTTTGTATCCGGGGGTG